ATTGGGCGGGGGGGAGGGGGGGTACCCAGGCCTGCAGGGGAGGGCAGTTAGGCATCAATCAGACTGGCAGGGGAGTGGTTAAGGAGTAATCGGGCTGGCAGGCAGAAGTGGTTTGGGGCAATCAGCCAGGCAAGCAGGCAAGCTGTTGGGACCTAGCAGTCCTGGATTGTGAGAGGGATGTCCGACTGCCCATTTAGGCCCAATCCCACCTGGCCATAAAGCAAGCCGTGTTCCTGGGCTGAAGAAACTGCAGAAAGGCTAGTTGCTACATGACATCATCACCCAGAGCCCACAGCCACCATTTCCGGGCTGGGCTGGGCTGTGGGCCGCATTTTGCACCCCACAGCAAAATGGGGCTTGGCAGCATTGGTTGTGAATTGATGGGCTGTTGCTCTGGGGTGGTGGAAGGGCCTTGGGGGAAGCTGAGTGTTGCTTTGTGGGCGCCAGGTCCATGGTGCCATTCTCTGTAAATGGCCAGTGTGCATCATGGCAGCTCCTGCATTGAGCATCTGCCCCCTGGTGGTCAGTGCACATCATAATGACTAGTTGGAAGGTCAGACACTTAGCATATTAACCTTTTATATAGATAGATAGTTAGATAGATAGATAGATAGATAGATGATAGATAAATAGATAGATAGATAGATAGATAGATAGATAGATAGATAGATTCCACAGCATGATTTTCTATGTGATTGTTTTCTGCTTTTCCTGATGGTCAAATGTCCTTCTTTAATATCTATACAATGTTCTGGTTGGTTGTTGGTTCAGATGGAAACATTCTAAGACAAACAAAACTCCAAAACATGCAATAAGACTGTGCTCACCAGCCTGTGAAGGCACGGAGGCAGTGAAGAGCCACTAACAGGAGGAAAATGAATTAGAGCCCAGAGCCAGGATGGCACTAATGGTCTCCTCGGAGAGCTGCTCCCCGTGAACTGACTCAGAACAGCGTGGCTCTCAGGCCTGTGCACCGTGTAATGGGCTCTGTGGCAGGTCCTGGAGGAGGAAGGGCACCGGGCAAACCGGGAGGACAATGGCTGACTCACCGATGAGACCCTGCACATCGACTCAGCTCAGGGATAACGATTCACCCGCAACTAAGAGGAGAATGTAAGATGCATGGAACCCAAAAGTAACCACGAAATGGAGATATTTGTTGCTAAAGGTTTAACTAGATCGCAAAACAGAAGCGGGCGTCGTAGAAGTCAGATTGTCAACCTGCACGGCTGCTCTCCTGTGTGGCCGTCACGGTGGCACTTCGGTGTCGGTGATTTCAGCACCCAGGTGTTTGTTGTTGTCATGGCAACGTGTCTGGTTGTCCCTTGCCATCAAAATGTCATACCTAATTTTCCACTTTCACTCTCATGTTTTCTGGTCTTTATCACAATTTTTATTTTTCTCTTTTGAAATGTTCATTATGTGTTGGCTACATGGAAAGCCACCCACACGTCCCCTGACAGGGTCCCTCCCTTCAGAGCAGAGTGGCCACAGGCGGGGGTCACAGAGAGAACAACAAGGACAGGGGGTGGAGACCGTGTTGGTGCGGCCCAAGGTCATGGCCTGTCTGCCTTAGGCCCCTGAGCGGCGCCTCACGGGAGGGAGGCGCCCTGGTCAGTAACTGTGGGTGACCTGAGCTGGCAGGGCTGAGGCCCGCCCTCGGGGAGAGGCAATGCGGAGTGTCCGCCTCCCGTCTGGCCGCCCTGCAGGGGCCGCGGCACACGCCAGGCCCGGCTCCTGCAGTGTCCAGCTCAGAAGAGCCGTGGGAAACGGCTAGTGAGCGGACTGGATATAGAGCAAACCCAGAGCAGGTTTGGAGGTTTGGTGCATTGCTCGTAAGATCAGGTACTTTGGCAAGAGCAGGGTGTGCGCGTGCGCTCAGGTGGCGTTACCGTGTGGATCTAGCTGATGTGGCTGTTCTGTAGACTAAATGCGGTGCAGTGAGAGTGTTTGGGGAAGGAAAGCTTTCGTCATCCTGTGGTGTTGGCGGGAAGGAGGGGGGAAGCGTTTGCCTCCTGAGTGGCTGTCATTCCTGCTGAATGTCCGAGGAAGCACACGCCTAGCCCCAGCAGCCTGAGCAGGTGCAAACAGAAGTGGAGGAAACGAGGGTGATCAAATGTGGGCGCTTAGAAACCCATTCCTGTGGCTGTTCTGGCACTCCATCTGTACTTCTCAGTCCCATCACCCTTCCCACCCAACCCCCAACCTCCCTCCCATCGGGCCACCATCATTCAGTCCGTTTCTGTATCTAAATACTGCCATGAACCACGTGACCAAGCAAGGGCCCAGGCCTTATCTAAGGGGCTTATGGGCTTCCAGGTCACCCTTCCCTCCTCAGAGCTTTCTGCTGGCATCCAGAGTCCTGGCAGGTCTCTCAGACATGACATTCCAACAAAGTTTTGGTTAATAAAACTATAATTGGAAACTGACTTATGTCCTGTTACGAAGAAATCAGATTCTTATCAGATTCATGCAAACAAACACATTGCCATGAGAATGGTAATTACTAAAACTATAATTATTTTTAGTTCATTAGTCCTATAATCAAATTCTTTTCTCCTGATTTTTCTTGCCAGTATTTCTATAAATCCAGATACTCTACAGAGTTCTAATAATTTTTATCCAATTCGAGGGGATGATCTGAAAGTTTATTCTCAGAGATACGTAGCTTAAAATAAATCAGAGTCCTTTCCATGGATCCCTCAGAAGATGTAACATTTTTTAAATGTCTCCAAATGACAAGAAATTTAAAATTACACAGTTATTGATTTGATTATAATGCAAATGACATGGAATCTTGTCTTTCTGCAAAACACAATATTCCACAATATGATAACTTATAACAATTAGTTATAAATGAAAGCATATCAGAATCTATTTAATATGCATATATAAGTAGAATATAATTATCATTTCCTTATTTGACAGAGCTTCCTATATACCTTAAGTATAAAATTTTCTTTATTTAAGGAGAGAAAGCAAATCCTTGAGGCATTCCAGGGCCCATTGGAATGACCTAAAGCCAATTCTAGGTCAAGGAAAAGTTTCTTAAAATTCAAACCCTGGGAAGGTAGACAAATACATTAAACTAAAAGATTATATATTATTATTATTATTGTTATTATTATTAAATAGTATTAAGTAATCTAGCCATTTAAAGTAATCAACTTCCTGATTAATATAATTATTTTGATAACATATAAAACCTTTGCTTCCTAGATAAATATAGGAAAAGCCTTTTTTCCCCTTACTTTCAGAAATAGGCTTATTTTTCTAATGGAAAACATACTCACATTCTTAAGAAACATAGCCGAGATAGTGAATTCCTTAGCTGGGAAACAATCCCCTCAAACTTGGAAATCCCAGGCGGCTCCAATGACTTCCTGCGCAGTCACTTTCATTTCCTTGCTTTTCATTGTGGAGGGTTCTGCGGTGTTTCATTGCGTTCCTTGGTCCTCACACGGGGCACCGCTTTGCGGGGCTGACCTGCAGCCCGCGAGTGACACATGAATGATTCCTCTGACACACGTTTCTGTGAAAGAGGCTAAGGGGCTGCTTGGCTACAGGGACTAAACAGCCCCATTCTCATGCCTCCTTCGGCTTTTATTGTAACAACAGAACTAAACTTAACTATTAGATGCTACCAGCAGGGCAAGCATCCTGGCAAAGACACATGTGTCTGCAGTGTCCTTTAAGCAAGAACATGCCGAAGTAAAGCCCGGGGGCTCAGACTTGTTTGGAAAAGTCCAGGCAGGGGCGGGTGCCTTCAGCCAGAGTAACTTTGCGTACTTGGAAATTAAACAGCGTGTTTCTAAATAGCCATTGGGCCAAGCAGACATTACATGGGAAATCAGGAATAATTTAAACCTCACAGAAATGCCATTAAGCACATTAAAATTTGTGACGTGGCTAACACCATCCACAGAGAGAACTTCTTGCTTTAATAGTTTTATTAGAAAAGATGGAAGATGAAACCAAAGAGCTAAGCTTCCACCTCAACAAACTAGAAAAAGAGAGAAAATGAAAGTCCGGGCAGGTAGAAGGAAGGAATAAAAAAGGAAAAGAATGCAGTTCCGTAAAGTAGAATCGAGAGACCAGAACAGGCACTCCCACTGGCATCCATCCGCCTGCCCGGTGGTGTCCATAGGCCTTTTCCATCACACTGGCTCAAAGTTATACCTTCCCCCAGAAAGACAGTATTTTTTTTCTTTTTTCTATTTTACGTGCTAAACTTAACTATTAGATGCTATCAGATCCCTGAAGAAAATAATACAATATTTTCTATTTTATTTTATTGTTATTCTTCCATTACCATTGAGGATAAATGGTAATGGAAGAATAACAATAAAATAAAAGGGAAAAAACTAGCCTCTCACCACCAAGCCTATCAAAGTTCCCTTTAGTCACCGTGTTCACCAGCATGTCGGCAAACATGCCTCTATGTGCACATGGTTCAGTGTACCCCATTTTATTAGTTTTCTAAGTGGGTGATTGATGATACAAAGTATCAATGTCACTGAGGATACAGTGTAGATGGTCAAAGACCTCTGAGGAACAGCCAATTCCTGAAGGAATAGCAAAATGAAAACAATTTTGAAGGAAATGGATGGAGCTATTTGTGTGTGCACACATACAGATTTCACCCCAAAATTTCAGATGTAAGAAATTGATCCTTTTAGTGCCCATTATCTTCCATCCCTTATGGTAGCAGGTTCTTTAATCTGCTGTCTGTGCTCACGTTGTGTCCTCTCCAAAAAAGTTCTAGAATATTCCAAAAATGTTGTGAGTGTACATTGTGTTTTAACTGTCAGTGTGTAGGCGAGGAGATAAGATTCAGAGACGGGGTTCACAGGAGGTTATGTCAAGAGGAGCTAAAGGCCCCTTGGGTGCACGCAGGACGCACCGTTCAGAAGCAGTCCATTCAGTGCACACCGTGTCCGTCAAAGGCTGGGTGAGCTCCTGCGTGTCTCATGCTTCTTTTTTAATTTCCTCTCTCGCAGATAACGAATTCATCTACAAAGAGCAGAAAGGAGATGTGATCCTGCGGAATGTTGAAACTAATCTGTCTACAGTGTTAATAGAAGGAAAAAAAATTGTAAGTACTCTCCTCATTGACAGAGATAATTTCCGTGTGCTCCTGCAAGTCAATAAGGCAGAAAATGACTTTGAGTTTCAACTTTCAGTATAGCCAGGCAGGAGCAATGAACTTGTAATACTCCAGGCTGAGCAAGGACAGATAACGTGAAATTGAAACCACACTAATTTAATAAGATAAAAGCCCGCTTTCTCCCCGTGTTCAGGACATTTCTCTGCGGGTGTTGAAAACAAGTGCTGCAGATCATATGTAATTGAAACATCAAGTCCCCAAGGCTTCCCGCACTTACAGGACAACGAGAGGCCCGGTGCATGACATTTGTACACTTGGGGGGTCCATCAGCCCAGTTGAGCCCTCTTGCAGTCTGTGACGCCCTTGGAGGATGACTGACTGCTGGCTTAGGCCAGTTCCCGTGCAGCCACAGAAGTGCGAGAGGCTCCCGCCACCACCGCTGCACTTGCCAGCTGTGTGCCCGGATTCTGGCTGAGTGGCTCTCCCCCTGCAGGAGCGCACTGACCACCAGGGAGCAGTTGAGCATCTGCCCCCTGGTGGCCAGAGAGCATCATAGTGACCAGTTATTCCACCGTCCAATTGATTTGCATATTAGGGTTTTATTAGATAGGATTGTGATCATGCATCGAAAATAGTTCAGAAGGACTTGCTCAATCTCATCTTAAAAAACAAACTAATCTTGGGGAGTGTGTTAGAGGTAGAAGAGGGTATATTGAGGATAAATGGTAATGGAAGAATAACAATAAAATAAAAGGGAAAAAACTAGCCTCTACTAATGATACTGCTGTAATTAACCTCGTTATGAATAACAGGAAAGGAGCCAAGGGAGGGCTGGACAGTGTAGGCATGTTCCGTGCAAAACTTCCCTCCCTGTCAATCACACCTGGGCACAGAGGTCACTGGACAAAATGGGCGTGGCCACTGCAAGGGGACTAAGATTTGGGGCATCTAATCCCCTGAGCAGAGGAATTCACTCTATTGTACTTGTGGGGCTCTTGATGCTTGGGGCCAGCTCTCCCGCGTTCCCCATGGCCCACGCCCTGGGACCCCACAGCAATGACTGATGGCTGTACCCGCCTGAGGCTGAGCTGGGCCAGCTCCACCAGGGAAAGGAAAACTGGCTTTACTGTTAGCACTGAGTCCCAGCTGCACGTCTATGGCGGACTCGGGGAAGGGACGTTAGAAATACAGGATGCAGTTCCACACAAATAAAATCACTCATTCTCCCACCGAGCCTCAAAATCCATTTTCTCAGAATAGCCTAAGAGCTCCACGCCAGCAGCACCTGCGGGGGAAAGGACCCACTTTCTCTGATAACGCCTGCGCAGGGAGCATTCTCGGAGCACTGCTGTCCTTGCTCAATGGCAGGAAGACACGTCTGTGCTTTCAAACAAGTACTCGGTCCCCGTGCGTGCCCCTGCTCACAAGTACTCAGACCATGTCAGTGCCCCTTCTCACGAGTACTCAGTCCCCGTGAATGCCCCTGCTCACAAGTACTCAGTCCCTGTGAGTGCCCCTGCTTACAAGTACTCAGACCACGTGAGTGCCCCTGCTCATAAGTACTCAGTCCCTGTGAGTGCCCCTGCTCACAAGTACTCAGACCATGTCAGTGCCCCTTCTCACGAGTATTCAGTCCCCGTGAATGCCCCTGCTCACAAGTACTCAGTCCCTGTGAGTGCCCCTGCTCATAAGTACTCAGTCCCTGTGAGTGCCCCTGCTCACAAGTACTCAGACCATGTCAGTGCCCCTGCTCACATGTACTCAGTCCCTGTGAGTGCCCCTGCTCATAAGTACTCAGTCCCTGTGAGTGCCCCTGCTCACAAGTACTCAGTCCCTGTGAGTGCCCCTTCTCACGAGTACTCAGTCCCTGTGAGTGCCCCTGCTCACACGTACTCAGTCCCTGTGAGTGCCCCTGCTCATAATTACTCAGACCATGTCAGTGCCCCTGCTCATAAGTACTCAGTCCCTGTGAGTGCCCCTGCTCACACGTACTCAGTCCCTGTGAGTGCCCCTGCTCATAAGTACTCAGACCATGTCAGTGCCCCTGCTCACAAGTACTCAGTCCCTGTGAGTGCCCCTGCTCACGAGTACTCAGACCATGTCAGTGCCCCTGCTCACAAGTACTCAGTCCCTGTGAGTGCCCCTGCTCACAAGTACTCAGACCATGTCAGTGCCCCTGCTCACAAGTACTCAGTCCCTGTGAGTGCCCCTGCTCACAAGTACTCAGACCATGTCAGTGCCCCTGCTCACAAGTACTCAGTCCCTGTGAGTGCCCCTGCTCACAAGTACTCAGACCACGTCAGTGACCCTGCTCACAAGTACTCAGTCCCCGTGAGTGCCCCTGCTCATGAGTACTCAGTCCCTGTGAGTGACCCTGCTCACAAGTACTCAGTCCCTGTGAGTGCCCCTGTTCACAAGTACTCAGTCCCCGTGAGTGCCCCTGCTCACAAGTACTCAGACCACGTCAGTGCCCCTGCTCACGAGTACTCAGTCCCCGTGAGTGACCCTGCTCACAAGTACTCAGTCCCCATGAGTGCCCCTGCTCACAAGTACTCAGACCATGTCAGTGCCCCTGCTCACAAGTACTCAGTCCCCGTGAGTGCCCCTGCTCACAAGTACCTGATCCACATGAGTGCCACTGCTCACAAGTACTCGGTCCCCATGTGTGCCCCTGCTCACGAGTACTCAGTCCCCATGCATGCTTCTGCTCTGTGATCTGGGAATGTCTGTCTCCCAGGGATTTAAGTGGCAGGAAGATGCAGAGCTTCTGCACTGTTAGATATTTGTTAGAAACACTGACTGCAGTTATGTGCCCAACATCAATGTAGAGAGAATTAATTTCCTTTTTACTAGATACTCATTCTCGTTATTCATAGGGCCACATCTCCAAGTATAGGGGTTGATCGTGTTCCTGTCCAATACGTTGGGGAAGCTGAGGGAGTCAATTAAACTACGTACCCAATCAGAATGGTCACAGCGTGCCTCTGCTGTAAACGAGAAGCAGAAATACCAGCATTCTGTGATCTGAGGCCCCAGGGTCTGGAGTAAAAGGTAGTCAGCTCCATGGTTTTAAGGACCCCGAGCCCACAGTCCGGCTAAGCTGGTCCAGCCACACAGCCCTGGGGACGGGGGAGGGTCCCGGGACGGGGAGGATCCACAGGCCCCCGAGCCTCGGTCCCAGGGACAAGGAAGGACGCTCGGCTTGGGTACCTCCCCTCCCAGGTCCATCCAAATGCTGCTCACCCCGCTTTTCCTCCTCAAGGACACTTCCCTTGCTGTTTAAATACCTTTCATTTCCCTTTGGTGTAATGATAGTTCTGTCGTTAAAAATAAAAACAAAAGTGCATTAGGCCTTGGCTGGTGGCTCAGTTTATTGAACATAGTCCTGTGCACAGGCGTGGCGGTTCCATTCTCGGTCAGGGCACACACAGCAGGCAACGACCAATCTCTCACTCTTTCTCTCTCATTAATTAAAAAACACATATCCTTGGGTGAGGGTAAAAAAAGAATAAATAAACACTGTATTGAGGTTCAGTGTGGAATGCATCCTGCCCTTTAAGCAGGCAGTGTGCTGGTGGAAGGTGGAAGGCAGGCCTACACCGCGATGCAGGAGCTTCACAGAATTAGGTCCCGTTCTGCCCGGTGAGAGGCAGGTTTTCCTTTTACAAATCGCCTTGGGCCCAGTTGCTCCCCTATGAAAACCGGGCTCAGCCGCTCAGAAGTCCTGCAGCCGCAGGCGTGATTTCTGATAGGAATCCAGAGGAAGGCTCAGGCCTGGCTGGGGTAAGTGCATTTTAATGTCACCACGTTGTCGATACTTCCTGCGGGAATGTCAGTTTAGTGAAACCGGCGTGGTGTGGCAGCCGCACTCAGCGATGAAATACGAGCCTGTGAACCACCTCTGTTCTCAGATCAATAGCTTGTGGCACTTCCTAAGTTTCAGCTGAAGTTGTTTTAGCCAAGAAAGGAGGCAACAACTCAGAAAGCACACGGGAAAGGGCAGGGAAGGGACATGGCTGCTCCCAATGGGCAGGCCCACTCCCCACCAGGCGGCTTTCTCCTCTTAAGTGCCCTTTGCTCACGTTACAAACTCGGACAAGCTGACCGTCCGTCCACGGTCACGCCTCGCTTGTTGTCTCCAAGCTGCACGAGCTGCTCCTGGGACCAGAGCCGGGGGAGAAAGGGAGAAAAGCAGCCTCGCTTGGGGGAGCCCTGGACCTAGGACCAGAAACTGCCCGGAGTTCTGCTGGGCCCGGAAGCCCTGCAGCTGTGAGGAGGAGAGGGGGAGGGGGTGTCCCCGGAATGGGGTGCTGTGGGTGTAGCCAGAATGCCTTCTCCCCTGCCGTCCAGGAGCAAGCCTGAGCAGGAGCGGGGCGCAGGGCCTGGCGCAGGGTTGGGCCCCGGCTAGGAGGATGGCCTCAGGGGGCTGAGCGCGGATCTCTGTCCTGTCCACTGCCTTTCTGATGGTCACCAGAAGGCCATCTCTTCTTCAAACCCAGAAGCCTTGAGTGTTTAAGGATGAGCACAGCCCGAGGAGAGAGCTGAATGCCTGGGCAGCCCGGTCCTTCTTAGGCGGGTCCGTCCTGGCCTGGAACTGGCGGGGAATGGAAGGAAGCAGCCAGGTGACCGGCGGGATTTAAGGTCCTTCCTGCCATGGGCCTGTACCGCCTATGCCCGCACTGAGAACAGACTGTGCCACTGTGCACAAGTACTCAGTGCCCCTGAGTGCCACTGCTCCCTCCTCCTTCCCCCTCCCACCTTCCTCCTTTCTTCCCTCCTCCCTTCCTTCCTTCCTTCCTTCCTTCTTTCCTTTCTTCCTTCCTTCCTTCCTTTTTTCCTCCCTTCCTTCCTCCCTCCCTTCCTTTCTCCTCCCTCCTCCTTCCTCCTCCCACTCTCCTACTTCCTTCCTCCCTTCCTTCCTCCCTCCCTCCCTCTCTCCCTTCCTTCTTTCCTTCCCTCCTCCCTCCCTTTCTTCCTCCTCCCTCTTC